GGGGCGCTAGTGGCGCCGTTATGTGCCAACAATGTCCACCACTTCCACACCGGTCACTGTGTTTAGAGCTTGCGACACCGTGATGGTGATAGTTCCATCCGTGTTACGCGATTTCACCGTCAAAAACCCGGGCGGTACAACAGTGGCACTGTAGCGAGCCCCCTGTTACTGGCTGCTGTGCAACGCCCTGTGTTGACCCGCACGATACCGGGCAGTGAGTGGCACTATTAAGCCGGCAATACGATAAGTCGAGCCCCTTACTACTCTGTGCACCCCTTTTTTTTGTTTTCGTTGTCGGGCGACGGGTGGACGTGGCGCGGTTTGCCCAGTGTAACCGCTCGTTCGAGCTGTGGAAGAGCTGCCATAACCACGTCATCGGGAGGGGCCACTCGTCTTTCTGCCAGTACGACACGTCTTCGTTGCCGCGGTGCGCCAGCAGTCACTCAATGTGAGCGACTCATCGTGCACCCCGAACACTTGTCTCCTTTATACCATGCACAAGTATTGCCTAATTTTAGCGGATATTTGGGAAGTTCTCATGTAGATTATTTGTTTTCTGTTTTCGGGTTTGGTCAAGTCTTTGGCCACGAACGAGCTCGCGACAGCAGCCTATTTGGCTGTTGTCCAACTTTTCGAGAAAAAATTGGTTCTTTCTGCATGCGTGAGAGTTCGTGATTTGAGTCTTTCCGAAGTCGGACCACTTGGTTAACCCTGTGCTTGGTACCCTGATGCGTCCCATGAGCCGCGCCCACTCCTTGTTCTGTCTCGACCTCGTGCTGCACTTCCCACCTCCGACACTGGCTCTAATTGTATCTCGTTGACTTTGCCGGCTTATCCCTCTGTTTCTCGTGCCGCGGTCCCTCTGTTTGTCGCGCCCACCGTCCATCTATTTCTCCCGCCCCCCCCCCCTTCCATTCTACATTTCAAGGCTTCCCTTCGACCCTCACTCTGGGTGGTGTGACGTGCAGGGGCGACGGTCAAGGATAGAGGACTACCACTCCATCGTTTTCCAGGTAGCTTACATCTTTCTGTAGGTTGCATGAGACCCTCCCCCGCCGACCTAGCTATTATGGTTGCTCCGCGTCGAACAGGCTGCCGAAATTGAGTGATATGTTCTCGGAAAAATATCGAACGAGACTGTTCCAACGCTGGCGTTTCCAGCACCGCCACCGACTGCGCTGCACATTAACCGAGCTTTGAATGTATATCGATGTAAAAAGGTGTGGAATATTTCGTGTACAATCTTCGATGTTCTACATGCGCGAGGGTCTGACATGAGTGGGTCGTGGTATCGTAGCATTTTCGTGTTGTCTGGTACAGTAGTGTCATCGCTGCGTCGTCAAGCACGGCGGACGTGCAATGACTTTTGACGTCGGTGGAGTAAGTCTTGTTCCTGTACACCCCATTTCTGGGCTCGTCGACCGGCCGCTCGTCCTCCCCATCTATCCCTTCCACTCCCCAATATTGTAGCCCGATCCGCTTTGTGTTGCACGTATCTCCTTTCTCTCTCTCTCTCTCTCTCTCTCGCTCTCTCTCCCCATCTCCGTCCGTGTCTTTCACTCACTCAGATCCTCTTCCCCTACAACCCCGGCCTTTTTCACTCCACGCCCCTCTCAGGAAGACTACAAGTTCTACGGCGTGTTCGACGGCCACTGCGGGACCCGCGCCGCAAAGTTCGCCTCCCGAGCCCTACACCTGAACCTCGACGTCTTCCTCAACGCCCAAGAGGGAACACAACCGTCGTCACCACCGCAGCCGCCGTCTCCCGACGACGACGCCCCCCCTGAAAATAACGCCTCCATAGAGCGCGCCGTTCGCAGGGCGTTCCGCAAGACTCAGGAGGATTTTCTGGGCTTGGTTCAGCACGGCGGCGGGAGCGGGGCAACTCCTCGCCCCCCCCCCTTGGAGGGGGCACGCGAAACGGAAACGGAAACGGGGGTACCTGCTGCGGCCGAGGGTGTGGCGGCGGCGGCGGCGGCGGCCGCGGTTTCGGAGGATGACAGCGGTACGACGGCTACCGTTGCCCTTGTTTATCCTGACGTCACTGTGGTCGCCCATGTCGGGGACTCGAGGGCGGTCTTGTGTTGCGACGACGCCGGACGCGCCGTGGAGATCACAGAAGG